TGGTTGGCAGAGAGGAAACAAAGAGTAGGAATTAATGGGTCCTTTTCCAATTGGCAGGCAGTAACTAGTGGCGTGCCACAGGGATTGGTGCTGGGACCCAGTTATTCACAATATATATTAATGATGTGGATGACAAAACAAAATGTAACATCTCCAAGTTTGCAGATGATACCGAGTTGGGTGGGAGGGTGAAATGTGACGAGGATGCCGAGATCCTTCAGCATGATCTGGACAGGTTGGGTGAGTGGGCAAATAAAAGGCAGATGCAGTATAATTTGGATAAATGTGAGGTTATTCACTTTGGAAGCAAAAACAAGAAGGCAGATTACTATCTGATTGGCTGTAAATTGGGAGAGGGGAGTGTGCAGTGGGACCTGGGTGTCCTTGTGTACCATTATGCTGAAGGTAAGCATGCAGGAGCAGCAGGTGGTAAAGAAGGTAAATGGTATGTTGACCTTCATTGCGAGAGGTTTCGAGTACAGGAGCAGGGATGTGTTATTGCAGTTGTACAGGGCCTTGGTGAGGCCACACCTAGAATATTACGTGCAGTTTTGGTCTCCTTTTCTGAGGAAGGATGCTGTTGCTCTCGAGGGAGTGCAGCAAGGGTTTACCAGGCTGATTCCGGGGATGGTGGGTCTGACATATGAGGAGAGATTGACTCGGTTGGGATCATTTTCGCGAGAGTTCAGACAAATGAGGGGGGGATCTCATAGAGACTTATAAAATTCTAACAGGTTTGGACAGGATAGATGCAGGGAGGATGTTCCCGATGATGGGTGTGTCCAGGACCAGGGGTCACAGTGTGAGGATTCGGGGTAGACTATTTAGGACGGAGATGAGGAGACATTTCTTCACCCAAAGAGGGGTGAGCCTGTGGGATTCATTACCACAGGAAGTAGTTGATGCCAAAACATTGAATGTATTCAAGAGGTGACTAGATACAGCACTTGGGGAGAATGGGGTCAAAGGTTATGGGGAGAAAGCAGGATTAGGCTGTTGAGTTGGATGATCAGACATGATCGTGAAGAATGGAGGAGCAGGCTCAAAGGGCCGAATGGCCTCCTCCTGCTGCTATCTTCTATGTTTCTAGAAATATAGAAAACCCAAATGTCATTAGTTCAAATAAGAAGCTACAAAACCAATGGTATTAACGTGCAAATAAATCAAACTTTATATCCCATATTCAAGAGGGTATTAGATGATTACTGAATACAGACAATGTGTACGCTTCTAGAGAAAAGATGTGAGTTTAACACTTAATTATAGATCCGATGTGCTGAACAGTCTCAATCTGCACTATAACAGTTCTGTGATCTGTTTATTCATGCAGAATCTATGGCTTCATTTTACGCATTGCTCCGAAATGAGATTGGGAAATTCGAGAAGCATGTTCAGGATTGTAGAGAGTCGTTTGATCTGGGGACACTGAGCCAATTTCTAGCAGCATTGACTGAACCCAATGCAGTGTGTGTTGACAGCCTGCAGCAAATAAAGCAGCTGGCCAGGCAGCAAGGTAAGAACAAGGTCCTGCTCAAAGGCAGTAGCTCCGACGCTGGTGAATACGCCTCATGGCTCTGCACCTACATGGACTACCTCCGAGCTCTAAAGGAGACATTCGATGACAAAGTTATTATCCCTCTCTGTGAAGAGCTGTATGTTAATGAGGACACAGGAAACCCCAGAGTTTACAATGATTCCTCCAACTGCTCCTCTTCATTATCATCACAAGCCAGCTCCCAGGAGCAGAAGTGGCGGGAGAGAGCTTCTGGGAACTGTCTGGTAGGCCAGCACAAGGTGCAAATGGACTCAATCCCGAAGATTGCAAAGGAGCTGTTTAATGTGCGGAGGAGGTGGGCCCTGCTCCTGACTGATGACACCATCAGAACTGAGTACTTCACACTACAGAGTATTACTGATCTCCACAGGACAGACACCCCCAAACATCTGAACAAGGTTTTACAGTTGGTACCTGATATTTTCTGCAAATGTTTATTGACGGCAGATTTGGCGAGACAATGGTTGGAGCTCCACGAATGTAGGTATGGTGAACTGACTCTCCCAGTCCCTGTAATAGACAGCAATGGGCAGAGAACAAGCGCTCTGTTCCTGGATGGGGAGAAGGAGTTGTCAGTGCATGAGAACATGCAAGGAATGGAATCCAAGAAAAATGAACAACTTCAACCAATGTCTCAGGAGTCTTCGGAAGAGCTTGATGATCTCAGTTGTGAGAAGACGAGATTAGGAATGGATGAGGAAGAACTTCATTACCTTTTCAGGAGAGAGAAGCATGTGAGAAACCTGGAGAGACAGACCCAAGAGTCAGGGTTCAGAGTTCATGACCTTCAGTTGCAGCTGGAACATGTTAGGCAGGAAATGGAACAGATTCGTCAAAGGCAGGAGGTTGAGGAAAGGAATAATGGGAGGCCTTACTCAAACCACAGGCTCATCGAGGAGCTGGAGAGAAAACTGAGGCTGGAAAAGTACAGGTACAGGATACTGGAAGCTGATTGGCTGCTGCAGCTGGAAATTGAACCCGATGTGATTCGCCACATGGATCTGGTAAGTCAGTAAATTCAGCAACATTGTGGGAAAAACCCAGGGCTGAAAGGGTTAAATTACAAGGACCATTCACACAAACTGGGCTTGTAATTCCAGGATGCAGAGGGTGAAACACTGATCCAGTTTGGTTTCAGGTCATTATACACTTTGAGAAGTTCATCAAAGAGAAGTGACTTGCTCCAGTGGGTGGCAATGTTCAGAACGAGGGGCAAATGCTGAAGCATCAATCTCAAGCACTCAGGGTAAGAGTAGGAAGCACTTCATCAGGGTAATGGTGCAGGGAGGTCGCAGCTTCCAGACTCAGATCAATCAACAACTGTTGGGTGATGGGATTGAGGGATAGGGCACTGAATGGAGTTAGGTTACACATCAGACAGGATCGAAACACATGCTTCAACAGGAAAAACAAAACTAAACTGTCAGAGGGTCAGTACTGAGGGAGTGCCGCACTGTCGGAGGGTCAGTGCTGAGGGAGTGCCGCACTGTCGGAGGGTCAGTGCTGAGGGAGTGCCTCACTGTCGGAGGGTCAGTGCTGAGGGAGTGCCGCACTGTGGGAGGGTCAGTACTGAGGGAGTGCCACACTGTCGGAGGGTCAGTACTGAGGGAGTGCCGCACTGTCGGAGGGT